TCCTTGCAGTCTCTTACTGAATTTCTTTGTTACAATCGTGTCTGTAATAGACAGTTAAGAATTAGATAGATAGAAACAACTTAAAAGATGTTATTTAACCTCAACTTACAGTGCTTGTGTGCAAAAACATGACAAGAATGAATTCCGAATCAATTTTAACAGTTAACCTGAATAAATAAGAATAAATATACTTACATCGCTTCTAAATGCAGCTGTATAGCAAGTGTATAATCCACAAATTTAAATTTCACTTCTTCTTGCTTGCCCTGCATTATCACCACCTGTGAGCAATTGAATCTGACAGCTCATTCCACAGTTTGGTCACGTGATAGCGAACGCCTAACTTTTGTTTCAATTAAATTATAAAGCTGTGTCATTTTGATTTATGTATATGTAGGCTTCATTCACATCCTGTTCCTGAGAACGTATTCAGTCTTCTCTAAATTCTCATGAATACAACGCTCATGAAAAAATTCATAATTTCAAGGGTTTTATTTCAAATAAATAATCATGCATGTGCACAATTCAAAAAATATAATGAAACACTCTTCGGTGCTGTGATCACTTAAGTTAAAATTTAAAATGTTGAATATATCAGATCTAAACAAAAACAGTCATCCAATTAAAATCATAGACATAGAATGTCAGCTCAGCAGCTAAAATTGACACCATCTTTAGTTGGCAGTATAATAATTGGGCCAGCATTGGCCCAATATAAATATCCCATCTTTGAAACACCTAAACAAAAGAACACTCGTGCTAACATCGGGCCAACATACTACAATGTACTACCAAATTGATAAGACATTTTGTGAGGGTGTATTACAAACATTGGGCCAATATACTACTACCCATTTGATAAGACACTTTCTTTAAGGGTGTATAACAAACATTGGGCCAACGTTGGGCAAACATATTACTATACTACCAATTTGATAAGACACTTTATTAAGTATGTATTACGAACATTTGGCCAACGTTAGGCCAACATACTACTATCAACTTGATGAGACGCAATTCTTTATGGGTGTATAACAAACATCGGGCCAACGTTGGGCCAACATACTACTATCAACTTGATAAGACGCAATTCTTTATGGGTGTATAACAAACATCGGGCCAACGTTGTGCCAACATACTACTACCAACTTTAAAAGACACTTTCTTTAAGGGTGTATTACAAACATTGGGCCAACGTTGGGCCAACATACTACTACCAACTTTAAAAGACACTTTCTTTAAGGGTGTATTACAAACATCGGGCCAACGTTGGGCCAACATACTACTATCAACTTTAAAAGACACTTTCTTTAAGAGTGTATTACAAACATCGGGCCCACGTTGGGCCAACATCAACATCCCTCCTTCCTCGGGAAGTAAAGTGAATGGAAGTTGCTAACGTTGGACCAACGTTGGGCCAACATAGGAATTCTGTCATGGTCGAGGAGGTTGGCATGGTGACATTGGTCCAACGTTGGCCCAACGTTGTTCCACCAACGCCAACCATACAACCTTTTGCCAATGTTGGCCCAACATAGTCTTGCTATCTGGGTAATTGACATTTTAGCTTAAATAATGTTTGTTTACTTCATGTTCACTTCATTATTAATGCAAAATATGGTTAATGAAGTACAATTTAGTCAATTTCCTAGAAAATAGTGCCATATCTTATAAAACATTTATTAAGCAATTTTCCCCTTACACACATATATAATTGATTTTAAATGGATAATTAAACGCTAATCTTCTATTTTGTTGATAATCAATTCACCTCACCAGGACAATGTTAAGAATTTATGTAATTCAGCTTATCTTCTTAGCGACAGAAGAATTTGTACAAAAACTATTTGAAATATTGGAACATTAATTCTAAATAATGTGTATTTTATGCTAATAAAACCATTTTCGTTCGATAAACTGTGAATTATTTATATTGGTGTTTTATAATCAATGACAAGAGGGTTGTCTCAAAATGTCCCTGATAGATTAAAATGGTGCTTCCCATTTAAGATAAAAAGTTCTTACTTATACACCTTACAACAAATAAATGTATGTACTTCTAAGGGTAAGTATCATTCATCCATAAATAAAATCTAACAAATTAGGTCCAAGAGAAAGGTTGAATAATGCTGAAGGTTTAACATTTTACACTTAATTTTAGTGGACTCATTAATTCTCTTTTTTTAATTTAAATAAAGAAATTCACCCACCCTTATAAACAGTCTACATTTCACAATACTTAACTGCAACAATTTGGCCATTATATCTTTCTTATGGAAGTCTAACAGTACTTTACATGTATTTTCATATCAACTATAAGTAAATGCTCTTACTTTAATTTTTTTCAGATGACAGAGGTCAAATTTTGTAAATTGAATTCAGACTTAAAAACTTCATCAGAAGTAAAAATATTCCTGTATGTATATATAAGTCTTATGACGTGATGAATCGTTTTGCTCTCGTGTTCATTCGCATGAAGGCCAAAGGCGTAAAAATATCACGCGAACAAATTAATTGATAATTTTCATAAAACAAAAAAATTATAACGCGTATTGCTTATATTTACATTTTAACCTGATCTTTAATTCCATTATAATAATTAAAAAGAAATCTCAGCATCCCCAGATATATTATTAAGCAACAAGCAGCGAAAAAGCATGCAAATCTGTCACGTTCTTGGCAAAATGATTTACGGAGTTATTTATCCATTACTTTGTTTCTAGTTTTATCTCAGATAAAACAATTAAAATGTAATTTCTTACTACTAGCCAGAAAATAAATTCCTGCACGATATCCATGATTATAACTGTAATAAAATCTGAAATTAATATACAGAAAGGAAACCACCTCGGTTATCGTCAAGGCATTATCACTGAAACCGATATTTATACAGCAGACAATTATACTCATTATTTTCACCTTAATACTGACATAAACTCTCTGCTCTAATTTGTTACCGACCTTGGCAACTTTACGTCGATTTCGCTCTCACACACGCACGTAGGTGTCGAATGTATGACGGTTTAGCATGTTCACACTGGGAAAGTGTAGCTAGTGTTTGACAAGACTGTCTTACAAACATTAAAGTTTAACAAACCAGCTTGATTCTGTAAATTCTGTCTTAAACCGAAAATTTATGGGATTCATTTAACGGGGGGTTTGTTTGGTTTAGAATGTTACAGCTACTCTCAACCATTAAGACTACCACCGGAAGGGTTGAATAATAATCGCATGAGAAATACTAGAGGTACTGTGAGCTATGAGCTCACTAAATGATACCCCCGCCTCCCATATGGTTATAATGGAAAAGTCCATCTTTTTCTGTGGCAGGGAAACCCAAAATGTATGTCAGATAAAAAAGTAAAATATGAGCTGCAAAATAGCAATATGTAATAAAAATTCTGTGAAAGTTTCATTAAATTTCACTCTGTGATATAAGAGGAGTTGCGGATAAGAGATAGGTACCCTTAAGCGTAACAGACAGACGGACGGACTGACATACCTATTACAGTTCACCCGCCAACTTTTAAGCGGGGAAAATAATTAATGATCTGATGAACACAATGCCCAGGAATATGAAGTATGTCACTGATGCTCAAGGGAGATGATGATAATTCTTATTTTCATTTTTGAGGGTATTGACATATCAATTTCAATAACTGATAAATTCAGTCAAAATCACACGCAATTTTAGTTCCTTTCTGATTAAAGATGAATTAAATTGTTTGATAACAATTATGGACAAGTTCGATATAAAAGTTTTTATTCAATTCAAATGTTTTATTTATGTTTTTATTCAATTCAAATGTTTCAAATGTTTAGTTTGCTTTTTTTCCCTTTCAATATAGAAAACATGGTTCCTGACCCCAAACACAATAATTAAGTTGGATCTCGTGATCTATAACTAGGGGTTTCTACCATAGAGGCAATTATGGGCAATATTGCAAATTACATGTACCCTTATAAGAATGCTACCGGTATGTGATTTCAGACTGTAAGACAAATTATATGTATGAAAAAATGTTGAATACAGTATAACTACTCATGTGATTTGAAGCCATTTAATTAATTCGACACACCTCCTTTTTCCGTTATCTGTGACATACGTATCCAATCAGATAGGGACTGATAAAGAATTCGATTAAAAAATAACTTAAATAATGTAAAATTGATATCAACTATCAGAATCAAAAGAGGTGAAATAAAAATGATGTATAGCAAGAATAACAGGGGGTTGTTCTGGACCTTGTTTGTTGTTTCAGTTAGACTTTCCGAATTAGTGTCGAAACAGTATTTTGCTCAATTAAATAAGAACGATGTTGTTATTTTAGAAAATCTTTCGGCAGAGTATGACGCATATTCAGTAACCATGTGCGCAGTCATGTGTGGTCCAGAATGTACGTATTTTGGTGTCAATTTGCACGTAAATAAATGTCGAGTTTATTCGGGATGTCATCCGGGTAACTTAAAAGAAGTTCAAGTAGGATGGAGGTACTTCAATCCGGAATCTGAAGGTATTTCATTTCAGTAATAATAAAACCGGTACATATCGAACTCCGCTAAAAATAATTTATTACGGCTAGTGAATAATATGAAACATTTAATAAAAATAAGATATCATAAAAAAAGGAAAAGAAAATAAGTTACAGACTATGCACCGCCCCTACGCATGAAGACTATAGAAAATTCACATTAGTGAATAATTTTATTGAAAACAGAGATTTTTTTTTCTTATTTATATTATCTAGAGATTTAAATGCGAAATAAAATTTGAATGTCTAATCATTAATTTAATCTTTTAAAGATTAAATTATCTGACATGGCCTTATATAAATAGCTGAAAAAAACCTTATTGGGACTCCAGAGATTGAAAAGAGTGGTTGCTTATGTACACATTCCTACGCATAAATATTTATATTTCAAGAATGTTTTCTTTACATTTCTTTTATTATTTTAGGGAATAAACATCCACTGAATTGTAAAACGTTGCTCGCTGAAGGTCATACAATGTCTACTGTTCACACTATTTATCCCCGTAACAACCAATGGTCAGTTAATGTCCAGTGTGATATGACCACCAAGGGTGGAGGATGGACGGTCAGTTTGATAATTATTCAATCAATTAGCGCATACAAAATTAACTCATAAAAGAAATCAAAGATTTGTTAGACTCATATCATAAACAATCCTTCATAATTTTAGGTTATACAGAGGCGTGTTGACGGATCAACAAATTTTGACAGAACTTGGAAGGAGTACAGAGAGGGATTTGGTTCAGTTAATTCATCTTATTGGTTGGGTATTTACATTTTGCATTACTTTAAAAGGAAAATTGTTACTTTTTTTTAAGTCTATATGTAACAAACTGAAATTCTTCATTATATTGTAAACAAATCCCCTTGGTTCACCCTTCCGGTAATTTGTTTAATAATCCTGCGCGGAGCCCCTAAATTCCTTTAGTTCCCATAGTAACATAGCAGCCCTGTGGGGAACCCCTCGTTGTACTTTAAATAGTAAGGTTAAAGCGTGCTATGGGGAGTACCCGGGAAAAACATCAGCCGATAGACGTGTTCGTCTAGTGCTACCAGGGGGCCTGTCCATAGAAAACCACATGGGTCTTGTGACTTATTTTCATGCCTAAAAGTCTCTCTACAGAATGTTACAGAGTATGTAAACTATCGGGTACTGAAATTCTTTATTTGAGAGTAGCCATTTCCATGTTATGGTGTGTGACAGAGACCGTAGCGTGTGAGCGAACTATGGCGGCCCGTACGACACATCTCTAAAACCAGTTCTGTGAGTTACTAGTATATCATCAGGCGTTGACCCTCGTTGACCATTTCATTTTCTGTGTTAAAGTCATTATATGAACGAAACATTGTGAAAGTTTGAGAATTATAACTATTGTGAATTTGGAAATAATTCTGAATATTTAGTTTCATTGAAAGACATTCAAAGTGTTGAGCCTGGAGTCGGACCATTGTCTTTGGAACCCGAGAGGAACCCAGTGTGCCACGCAGCCCGTTATCAATTAACATTTTTCCGTGAAGCCATATTAAATGGAAACTGGAAAAATCTACTATTAAAGGATTTCCGCACTTACGGAAGGACCAGGACAAACGGGACCAATTCCAACCAAGGGACAATCACATGCGCACTGACTGACGTGGACCAGGACCAACTAACAAAGACATTTTCAATTTATTTTATTTTTTGTACATTTTTCGGTTACTTTTCTTTGTTAAAATTTCTGTTTATTTTGTTCTTTAATTTTGTTATTAAATTTTGTTAAAATTTTAAAGTTCTTCTTTTCATTTTTGTAAGTTCATCAGGGTGTATAACCCACATCCTCACAATATATTAAATTCAGTAGAGACATATACTTTCTTCGTTTCGACTTTGGTATGTCGAATTTTTTTTTTCTTTTTTAATTAATATATCAAATGTACATGTTCATAGCTGTCTTTTTATAAATCAGTTATTTATTGTTTCAGTATAGGTTCTACTTAATCAATTTTAGGAAATGACGTCATTCATCTCTTAACCAAACACAAGCCGTCTCTGTACGTGTCCATAACTCTGACCAATGGAACTACTCTATATGAACAGTACGACTAGTTCTCCATAACCAACGAGGCAGACAGATACAGACTTTACCTGAATGGACCGACCACAGGGACACTAGGTGAGGTGTATGCTTAATAGCTCACCTGAACCGAAGGATCAATTTAGCTTTTCTGATCAAACAGTGTCTGGCGTCTGTCTGTTGTCTGTAAATGTTTGATATTTGACTTCTTCTCAAGAACATTTGCGCGAATTTTATCCAAACCTGCCACAAAACATCCCTGGATAAGGGAATTAAAGTTTGTTTACACGAAGTTCAATGCATTCTTTCAAGAGAAATTATTCAGAATTCGTGACCATTTGGCGGCATCACTTCAAAATCTTTTCAAAAACAATTGTGCAAGAAAAGCATGAACTTATGCTAAAGCTTCAATGATGCTTTAGATTAAATTATGTTCATATCATAACCCATTGGGTACAGCGGATAAATAATGGGGAGTTCGAAGTTTTACAAAGAAATATAACGAAAATGTTTTTAAATATTTTGTTTTCAAGATCATGAAAAACTTTATTAGACATTATAACAGAAGCATATCCTCTGATAGTGTAGATTCAAATTTGTTCAATTTACAAAGGAAAGTGTCACAAAAAGCCAACAGGATGTGCCGTCGGAATATATTTGAAAAAAATCTTCAAAAATTCTCCCTTTTAAGAATCGCCCCGTGGGGATCCGGGATAGAATAGGTCCTCAGTACCCCCTTGCTTGTCGGAAAAGGCAACTAATGGGGCGATCCTTCGGATGAGACCATATAAACCGAGGCCCCGTGTCACAGCAGGTGTGGCACGATAAAGATCCCTCCCTGTTCAAAGGCCGTAAGTGCCGAGCATAGGCCTAAATTTGCAGCCCTTCACCGGCAATGGTGACGTCTCCATATCAGTGAAATATTCTGGAGAGGGACGTTAAACAGTACACAACCAACCTTTTAAGAACAGCAAAGCCATGATTCGTAAAACTAATAAGGAAGCAGTCTTAGGCAGTTAGATTTTAAGTTTTCCACAATCTTTTTTTCAATCATGCACTGATTTCTGCTTCTTCCCAGCCAATGAGTGTGATGTTGCCCATACGTGTGTGATTGTGCCCATAAGTGTTTAATGTTGCTTATCTAGTTATGTACCAAAGTGTGCATCACTCCAAATTTACTGTTGATTTTACTCGATCACGTGAAAGTGTGATCCAATTTCTCGAATCTCAACACTTTTGTTTTATGAATCCATATCACCACTCTCTGCAACTGATGACGTATATGTAGTACACGATATACATGACGGGTTTTTTTTTCTCGCCTTTTAAATGTTCCTTGAGAAAATGCTTTGTTTTATGCAGAAAAGATTGATATTAATCACAAAATCGTTGAGCTAATAAAGTTGCTAATTGAACAGGGGTTTATAATAAATTTGTTATTAAAATAGTAACTAGATCTGAAGAAAAGAATCGCGTCTCCTCTGTGAACTGGACGTGATACTACTTTTGGGATCGAGTTACTTTTATAATAATGTATAAATATTTTTTCAACCGGTTGTTTATACATTGTGTATCCTTACGGAAGGTGTAATGTTCAAAGGAAGCTTCGGTAATATTATCTATCTATGACAGTTTGAAGGGTTACAGGTTTAAAGTGACTGAACAGTTTGTGCTCACCATGGGAAATTTTAGATCGATTTGGCACAATATAAAATATTAAAAGTCTATAAAAGGTGGTTACAAAGAAAATAAATTTATTGAAAATTACAATAGCAGTTTCAGATAAAAGATGAATATATTTATGGTAAGATAGATAACCTTACCTTACTGATCATGTTTCTTCTTAAAGGTTTCTGATCTCAAAATGCTGGAACATGTTTTAACTGCTTTAAAACACACTTAAATATTTCGTGAATAAGATTTAAAAAGTAGGGCAATATGTAAAACATTCACAAGAAATAAAGATAAATACTTTACTCAGATGATAAGTATACATGACAATTTATATTATTTCTAAGCAATAAAAAAACCTTTTTTTTTTACTCTAAATACATTTATTATTGATAAATATATTGCATTAATTCCTTTTGAGGGGCCGACTGAAGTTTTTATTTTGTAATACTTCGCGCAGCATAGTAAAAGCAAACGTATTTAATTTTTTAAAGCAATCCTAAAACTTGAGGGGGAAAACTTGTTGAGTTTGACTATCTAATAAAACCGTCAGTCGGCTCTTTTAAATACTTAGAACTCTATTAAAGTGACAATATGCTTCTAACTATAAAGCACATCAAACAAAGAGAGGTATACAGGAATTTCGGAAATAATCTCTCTCTTCATGTAAAATGCCAGACTTAACATGAATGTTCATAACCTTTGTATGCTTATTTTAGAAGGACATGGAGATAACGAACAGTGTTCATTCTCAAAGTCCATAAAAGAATACAAAATAAGAGCAGAGCAAACACGGACCCCGAAACAACAGTGGTGGGATCAGGTGCCATGGAGGAGTGAGCATCCCCTGCCGACCGGTCACACCCGCCGTGTGCTCCTTGTCATGATCAGGAAATAGTTAACAGTTTAACGGAAAGCCATATAACATTCGAATTTGTGTCTGTTATACGTAACTTTGAAGAATTCATAATAATTATTATAATGAAAACAAAATGGAAAAATTGCATTGATTCCAGTTCTATAAACTTTAAGTAATGTAAACAATAACGAATAAAAAATTATTTGATAATATTCTACCATAAACAGTTGATGTAATTTTATTTTGATAACCTCTCGTATTTGTTATGAATAATTATTGGTAATCATTTTCAATGTTTACTTTAAGGTTAATTGACACTAGTAAATAAAAACGGATGTACAATTTAAAATAAATATATTATTTCCTTTAACTTTACATGTTATAAAAAAGAATGATATAGTCTGTGGCCTTTTAATTATTTTTCCTTCATTAATGTTCAGGTGACAGTATGTTAAATACGGGGTGGTATAACCAAGATCTGTCTGGGATGTAATTTTCCACCTCAGACAGGGATAACGAAAGATGTAATGGATGTAACTGTGCTGTTAGATACGGAGGAGGAGGAGGCTGGTGGTATAACGACTGTTACCACGCCAACCTCAACGGTCCTTGGTCCCTGGAGACCTGGCACAATCCATGGTGGCCTACAGTTTTGGCTAGTAATGAGATAAAGGAGACTTCCATGATGATAAAACCTCACTGAAGAGCTATGGGCAGGCAAGTAGTTTGGTACCATATACAGTACAACTCGTCTAATCCAAAACCCTCTTTTTTAAATTGACTGGACTTGACAAAACTTCTATAAGGAAGACAATTAGACAAGTTTATTATACATCTGTGAATTTGTTCTGTGTAAAAATATGACGAAGAAACATGTTTTCTTTTCCAAACAGCCCCCAACGTGAAATAGTTTTTGTGCTATCTGTCTATGGTAGAATAGTCATCAAACTATTCACCGGCAGCATTCTGTTTCCTTCGTTTTTCATCTCGAAAAACTTCTGATTTTATTCGGATTGTGACGTATACATTATGACGTAACAAAAGTAAAGTCAGCATCGGTATAATTAAACACCTATTTACCGACTATTCGGCTGCACCTTGGGAAATAGTTTGCTGTCTTGGGATGATAAACTTGCTATTGTCCTCATAGCCAGTAAACAGGTGTATAATATTCTGTGGGGAATTTAAATATCGCCTCGTATTAATTAAGATATTGGAATTCATATTTTAAAGGTCAATACATGTTTCACGATAGTAAGTTTTGGTAGTGAGGGGAAATGTCACAAGAGTATTGATGTTTTCCATTGTTGAAATTTTACTATGTGATTTAGTATTCACTAAATTTCTGTTTTTTTAAAAGATAATCTTAATTGCATACAAATTGGTTTGAATCCTGTATCTCAAAAATACATACTTTTAAAGAGTTTTTCATAAAACATGAATATTCAATATATAATATTTATACAAATATTCAATTTGCAATGTGCATGTGCTCGTAAAATAATTTATTAAATGATTGTTGTAATTACTAAAGAACAAGGTTCACTTTTGCCTTATTTGGCCCTGCGAATTTCTGAAAATCTGAAACTGCATAGTTTTAGTTAACAATGCATTAAAATATCACTTAGATCTTTGATGACTTCGATTCTATAAAAAAAGACGTCATTTTCTGGCTAGTTAATGCATTATGACGTCACGAAATACGTCAATTTCGTCATATTCCCAAAAAGTCTACAAAAACGGCCAGTTTTTAAAGCTACTTTTTGATATTTGATACACAGCGCAACCTCTGATCTGAAATATGCAACTAGTAAATGATAGAACTGTTTCTAAGGATTCGTGTACAGTGGCTGGAACGTTATTGTTGACAAACCAATCGTGTAGAATCGTTCTTGTATCGTGAGTGATCGTTCGTTTAATGTGCAAGATCGTTCGTGTATCAGACTCAATCGTGTGCGTTTTTAATCGTGCGAGATCGTGCGTTTAGAATCGTGTAAATTTCGTTTTGTAAGTTTTTATCGGAATGTTATTTGTAAAATAAGCATTACCCTTGTTTGTTTTTCTTAATTTATTAATTAAAATCCAAATAAAATGAAAAAGCGCAATTTACATAATAGAATGCAGAACGAACTAATTATCGCCCGTAAACAAGCAATATAGTAAGTCGTACAATATTAAGTTCTCGTCAAATAGCGCGATCAATATTGTGATAAACCGTACTTAAAACTTTTACGCCTTTTTGAAAAATCTGATTTTAATTATTATTTACTTCTTATTGTGGTGAAAATAATCTTGAAATCAATTCATTAAAAATAAATATATTTTTTTTTACAAAGAAATAAACATTTCTCAATGCTAAGCCTTACATAACTAGTAAGTCGACAAATATACATGGACACGGCATGATTTTCAGGAGTTTTGATTATCTATGTTTATCTCTTTAGCCTATTTGTAATTAATTAATTTTAAATTTCTGCAAATAAAAAAAGTTGAATAATTGGCAAGTTTATCATACACTTAATCATTGGTAACATAAGGAAAAAAATTGTAATTATAATTTAAGTCATTCCATGCTGCCATTCTTGTTTAATCGTATCCCCCTTTCTGCATATCATGATATTCAATTCAATCAAATTATACGACCCACATACATGTACATCGTCTAAGAGAACGAACATAATCCGGTTTTTTTGATCGGAGAATTACCTTAGAAATAATTATTTTAAATCTAAAATATTAAGTCTTGCATATATTTAGTTACAGAAATATCATTTTCAATATTTTTTTCTTCAAAGTCTATGAAATAATATTGATAATTCTTTGAAATCTTAAATAAGTATTAAGCCGTATTTCGTTTTGAAAATATTGATTCCTAAATATTTTGAATTATTTTGAGTGAAGAATCGTGCGTTTGCGTTAACAATCGTGTAAGATCGTGTAACGTGTAGAATCGTGAACGTGAAAGATCGTTCGTGTAACAGCTTTAATCGTGCGTTAATCGTGCGGAATCGTTCGTGTAACGTGATCGTGCGTGTAAGTTGTCAACAATAACGTTCCAGCCACTGTACATGTTTTATTTTTTGGATCAGAGGGTGCGCTCATATTTTTTTTTCTTCACCGAAAGTACTCAATTATTACTGTTTACGTAAAAATTCAACAACATTGCAATTTCATAAAGCCAGTTCTCCAAGACCTGGACTTTTTGGAGAATTTTTTAATAGGATATGAAAGCAACAAGTCTCTATTTTATTTTAATGCTTCAAATAGAAAATCAAGTGTTGATCAATTAATTGGTATATCTACAGAGCCATTTTATGCATAAAGTGAACCGACTTCTTTATGTGATTGATTGAATTGGAATGCTGTGATTGATCCTAGGCGTTATTTATGTAAATTTGATATATGACTATTTATGTTATTGATCTAATCTAATTAGGTGATTATGTTATAGCTGAATGTAAAATCTTTAATATAATTATATTTTATATTATAGTTTTTCTTGACCATATAAAGTTTTACTGATTTGTTATAATTTTCAATATGTAATGGTGTATTTAATTTTTGATTATAGCCCACAATATTATGGATGGAACAAAGCTTGTCTTGACGATAATGCAGATGAAAACGTATTTGCCATCCACTGTTTTTGTATTGAGATATAACTGTTCTTTTACTATTTTTCATTTTGAAACTAAAAGAATGCTTTAAAGTTTACATTAACTTTATGTAAATAATAAAATACATATGACTATATATTGCTTATCCTTGACTGAAAATAAAAGCTATACATTTAATAAAGATAAGAAAGAAAATGGCATCAATGTATTTGTCGTCTTAATTGTCTTTGTATTAAATGCATGACCTTTAACTTCATATTTGTATCAATAGACAGAATAATAATATTGCAAAACTGAGAGTAAGAAAAATATTCTGAAGCACACAGCGGAAGGAATATTGTGGTAAACTACCATTCATTTCTATCATCATACAGTAATGTCTATGGTAAGCTGTGTATTATATAGTTGTGTCTCTCTACAGATATTTCGACAGATAATCAGTGGAAAGATTTGTCTTGTATCGCTTATCTCTCAATCTACCACTGACAGTTATTGCCTAGATCAAACAAATGCCGCGGATATCATTCTCCAATAAACAAAAATGTCATCAAAAAATTGTAAGATCAGATACACATGTGAGACTTATACAGTTGAAATTGATATTCACTATAGAATTATATATTTCTTTAGACTATATCAATATGTCGTCTTGCGCAGTCTTAACAGTGTGCAATGATACATGAAACAGCTGATAAATATCCGTTTTTATAACCAAGTAGGGGTTTGTTGCAACCACTTTTGAAATAACGAGCACTCTTTAAATAATTATTGTGGCATTTAAATAATCTGAGTCGGTAAATCTTACCAGCCCTCCTCCACCTCATTGAGAATCGAATGATCATCCACTAGTATCTGTACAGTCATATCGACAAATCGTTTATCGTAAGCTGATCACGGCATGATAGACTCTGATCTAAAAGAGTGTAATAAAGATGTTTATTGTTTTACTCTACAATGTATTTCCGTTCTTGACAATTTTTTTTAACTACGATCTCTCTGGAATGTTTTTTTTTTCTATCAGCCTTAAAAATATTATGAAAGTGTATATTCAAGTTTTTTTTATATCATAACCACCGGAGGTAGGGTGGGGCAACAATTGGAAAATTGGAATCTTTTCTGCACTTTTCAAATATCTTAATGCTTCTTGAGTTTATGTGTAAAAACTTGACAAGATACATTGAGGGTATGCCCTTGCAATAAATCGATTTATTAGGGCCCTTCCATTACTTTTTCAATGAATCTGCATACAAACACACGACACTATCACTTGTCTGGAGAATGTATACATAAATAAAATGCTAAATAGACATCATATCCATGTTAACGGCCTTTTATGTAACTGCAAATAATATTTAATTTGAGAGTAAGAGACATTTTTCATTTTATCAAATGTGACTTGATCAGCCTCTTACTTTGTACAAACTGCATGATTTTTGCGAGATGACGTCACAGTGACAAGTGCATTGTGATTGATGCATCGTTTATATACTCTTGTGTGGGATTTAACAAACGACAAAACTGCTTGTAATAGAAAGTTTGTATATAGTATACAGCTGTTCAGCTGTTTGAAATAGCAAGTAATTGATTAAGTTTATGGTAATTTGAAGACCTAATATTATGTGTGACGTCATAGCAAACATTTCTCGTACAAATTAGGCCCCGCCTCTGTACTGTAACCTTAACTGTGCTGCGGTGTGACCAGTCGGCAGGAGATGCTTTCTCCTCCATGGTACCTTATCCCATCTCTGATGTTTTAGAGGTCCGTGTTCGCTCTGCTCCTATTTTGTATTGTTTTATGGATTTTGATATTGAATATTATTTGTTATTTTAATACCCTTCAATTTCATACCTATTTAGGACAAGTCCACAAAATGTTTCAAATTCAAATTATGGGGTTAAATCTATATTTAGTTTTTTTTTTAATCTCGCACAGTCATATTTAATATTGTGACATGACCCGGCGAGTTTTCCTTTGAAGTCAAGCATACTGTAAC